AACTTTTAATACTCCCTCGAAGTGTCCTTCTGCACTTCTGAGATCCTTCTGGCAATTAAGTGTTCCTAGATCTGGAAGAGTACTATTTAATTCCTCCGCCTAACATCGCATTTAATAAAAATTCGTTGTTTAGTTTTGCAGACTCCCTGGAGGAGGACGGATTAACAGGCGGACGGACAGTCTCCCTGTTCGGAGTTAATTCTGTGTATAAACATTGGATTCCCTTCCCGTAGTGGGGAAAGTACAAGTATCTGCCATTTTTAAACCTGTACATCCACGGAAAATATTGTTCGATTCACGAGACAGTTTTCCTGACAGCATTGTGTCATAAAAGCATTCACTGTTTGTCCACCAAGCAGAGCAGTAATTTGCTGCAGGTCTTCATCAGCACAGTCATTCCTGGTTTAGAGCCACATCGGGACACGTGATCATATTTTCGTTCCAAGACCACTCATGTCTGTATGTAATGATACAAATGCCGTCGTGAATGCAACAATTTATTTGCTTGTAGATCTTTGTCGTTTCTTCCTCTACACTACATGTTTCGCCCGTAATTGGCCATCATCAGGTGTATTTTTCACTACGTAGCTGTGTGCAGTGTGACAGCTACGTAGTGAAAAATACACCTGATGATGACCAATTACGGCCGAAACATGTAGTGTAGAGGAAGAAAAGACAAAGAACTACAACCAAATAAATTGTTGCATTCACGACGGCATTTTTATTATTACATATAGAAGTGTATAGTGCAACAGGATGCTTAAGTATATAATATACCACTCATGTGTTTTGAAATGGGATGTCCCCTACGAAGAGAGGAGGACTTCGACTGCTGCTGCCAATTACCGCGGACTCCGTACGCCAAGTAGGCGCTTGGGACAGATTTACGGAAACATTGATGATACAGTTCATTCCTTACTGCCCGTGTGTTTACCCTTGTACAGAAAACGTATTGCAGATTTTATTCTCAATGTGATTTTTCTTCTTTCCAGTTCCTCAAACTATCCGGCAGCCCTTTCGTAGAAAACTCACCGCCAAGGGTCATGTGACAGAGGGGTAAATCGGGCATATTCCCTCTGATTTAGTGAGGGGGATGAAGCTCGCCAGGTCACGGCCGGGCGCTTCGGTTCACATATTTCACCCTTTTTATCTTTTCCGGGGCTACGTGCTGAGGGCACAAGGAGGCATTGGCCGCCCGCATAGTACACATCCCTCAAAACTGGATCACCTTAAGGTCACGTGGACCTTGTTATCCTACTTTTCTTATTTCATAATGATCAAGCGTAGGGCCCCTTCTTCGCTTTGGAAGTATTTGTATCGCTTATTGTAACAACAGTGTCACAAATACGCATTCCCTTGGAACAAGTAAGGTTATCAGCAGCTATATTCCGGTCGGCAATATAGCGTTACTGAAAGTGCCCATGAACTGTACCGAAAATGCTTATTTATTACCACGACATTATGTGTAACTAATTCCGTGGAGCTGAGCCGTTCTTGAGAAGCCTTCGGTTGCCCATTTACCCAAGAATTTCCCAACGTTTTATGTAGCCCGATGGTACCTTATCGTGTTCACGAAACCCATCCACTGCTCCCTGTCCCGAGCCAGATCAGTCCAGTCCATAGAAGCCTATACTATTTCTCCAGTATCCATTTTAATATTATCCTCCTACCTCGGCCAAATTCTTCCTAGCGGTCTCTTTTCTTCTGGCTTTCACACCAAAATGTGTATGAGGATTGATACATGTTTATAACGTAGACCATTCTAATTTATTTTTTATTGTTTTATGAGCTGGCTGTATATGCCCGTTGCATAATATTGTCACACGATTGACTGTAACTATTGGCGAGTTTTGGATTGGTAATTGAATTTATTGGACTCTTTGATAGAGCGCGTGACTACACTTTATAATTCACTGTCTCACACACACACACTATCTTCCACAGTCACGTTTGCACTAGTCGTCGCTCGGTGTCGGCTTCCAACGGCGGACCTTTCCCTTTATCTGGCTTACCGAAACGTCCCCGCCCTCAGCTACCAGCTTGTAACAGCAACAGCTCATAACGACTGAACCTAAGTAGTTCTTTGGCCAACTCACTCACCAACCAGCTAACTGATCTCAGTCTTACTAACTGTCCTGCTTAATATAACATCTCGGCACGGACCGCACAGAAAATACCGTCCTGTTATTGTTGTGCAACTGTTGCAGTGGAAACATTCTTGTTTGCGAAGCCGTCACTTAGCAACGGCTGTTGAACAGAAACGGATCTACATGCCACAATATTTTCTTACCATACGAATACGACCAAAAGGAAGTTACCTAAATCCTCCTAACACAGGGTACATTTTCGTTGAAGAAAAAAAGAAGATATGTTGCCGAAATTATGCGTAATTGGTACTGAAATAATAAGTTGGAGGTGAGTGGTCAGCTTCAAGCTCCGTCCGCTTTATCCGGAGGAAAGAGCCTCCGGAAACCATTACATAGAAGGTTGGGTGCACCCCAGAGTCGGTCTGGACGACATGGAGAAGTGAAAAATCTTACCCAGCCGGGACTCGAAGTCCGACTCCTCCGTCCTCCAGCCTGTAGCCAGTCGCTATGCCGGCTCCCAATAATAATAATAATAATAATAATAATAATAATATCAAAAGAAGATATGTGATATGTGATGTCATTTGACATGGTGTGCCTGCGGACATCAGACGACAGGAGACCACTCTGCCTTTATGCTCGTGCTTTCAGCATAGCGACTTTGCGAACTTGTGTTATGGAAGCGATGCTAGCCATAATTAATATAGGGCTCTGAAATTCTGTGTCAGATAAGAGGTCTTCGAAAGTATATGGTTTTTTTATCGCCGGTCTTGTAGAATAAGAATTAATAACATTCGTGCCGCGCAGAATGTTTATTTAGCTTTTGGTTTCCTGAAAATAACTAATGACTTACTTGAGCTAACCTTGTACGTTCTTCTAAAAGGCTGTGTATAATACTCAGAATTTCTGGGTTTATGGACTTCGACCATCGTCCGGTATTCTGGAAACTAGAAAACACGACGTTTCGGAAAATATATGTTTCCGTCCTCAGATAAGCGAGGAGGAAACACCTATTCAGTTGGGTCTCTTATGATTGAGATTAACTCTTTCTAAGGGACACAGATGAGTAGGTGTCTTCACCCCCCACCTCCTCGCCTGAGAGCCAAACAGATCCAGTTTCCGAAACGTTGTGTTTTCTAGTTTCTAGAATACGGGACGATGGGCAAAGTGCAGAAGCCCAGAAATTCCGAGTGTTGTACAGTTTTGTATGAAGGTAGGCCGTAAGCATAGCTCCACACTCTCACGTTACGCGTACAGACTTGGCATCGGAGCTGATATTTGAGGTCGTATCTTGCAAATGTTAGAATATACAAAACTATAATTTTGCCTCTGGTTTTGTATGGGTGTGAAACTTGGTCTCTGACATTAAGGGAGGAACATAGACCGAGAGTGTTTGAGAACAGGGTGCTGAGGAGTATATTTGGACCAAAGAGAGATGAAGTGACAGGTTGTTGGAGAAAACTGCATAATGAGGAACTTCATAATTTGTACTCTTCTCCAAGTATAATTAGAATGATCAAGTCAAGGAGGATGATGTGGGCAGGGCATGTAGAAAGAATGGGGAGACGAGGAATGCATATAGAATATTGGTGGGAAAGTCAGAAGGAAAGAGGCCACTGGGAAGACCAAGGCTTTGGTGGGTGGACAGTATTAAAATGGATCTTAGAGAGATATGATGAGATGGTGTGTATTGGATTGATCTGGCTCAGGATAGAGACCAGTGTAGGGCTCTTGTGAACATGGTAATGAACCTTCGGGTTCCATAAAATGCTGGGAAATTCTTGAGTAGCTGCAGAATTGGCGGCTCCTCAAGAAGGGCTTAGCTCCATGTGTAAGTAAGTAAGATCTTGTAAATGTGACATATTCAGTCTGCATTAATGAAATTTCTGCAAAGAAATGGACCAGTATACGTACTGTACAATTAATGTATTGTTCTTGCTAAACTGACCGTATAGATTAAAAGTATTAGGAAGAAAATAGTCCTTATAATTACTTCCCAGAATTGCTTGATTCTGTGGTAATCATATTGCTATTTCGTATTCTTACGTTTAAAATGTTGAAGATACCATACATTGAGCCATAAGACTTACCTACCTAGATATTTAATTATCTCGTAAGAGCTACCGATAGTTAAAAAAGAATATAATACCAAAGTCGCAGTTGCATGTAATATTCTGAATTACTCACTTCATCCTTCAAGGGTGCAGACACTTTTCTCGGAACATTACTTCCTGTTGTGTATAATTTGTATGGAACAAGTTCAGCACTGATAATTATCTAACATTACTTTAGTAGAACCTTTTGTTGAGTGTGGAACTCTCAGTGGAACGCTGCATAGAATCTGCTATTCTCAACAGTGGAAAATCTTTTTGCAGTTGGAGTTATCATTCGAACTTGGAATACAAAATGCTGTTCTCAAGAACTGAAATATTTCTTGCAGCACGAGATATCAATGGAAGTCTGCACGTACTCTTCTGTTCTCAATAACGGGAAATCATGAGAACTGAGATATAAATGGACCTTTTCATATATTCCGCTGTTTCCAACAATATAAATTCTTGTTTCAGTAGGACACTTCATACACCTTACCGTAACTCTCTTGCAGGTTGAGATATCAGCTGAAGCTCGCATTCACTTTGCTGTTCTCAACAATTGAAACTCTTGTTACAGACGGAAATATCAGTGGAGTTCTGCATACATTCTAACGTTCTCAACAGTTGTAACTCATGTTGCAGGTGGACATCTCAATGGAACTATGCTTACATTGTGATATTCTCAGCAATTTAATTTTTGTTGCAGTTATACGAGTACATATCAGCTGAAATTTGCATTCACGTTAACTTACTCAAAAATTTGAATTCCGGAGGACATGCCAGTGGAATTCTTCTAACTTACGATAATTTCCTTTCGCAGGTGGAGCTGGCACTGGAACTAGGCATGTACGAGAGCTCTTGCTCCTACCAGAGCGCTCTGGACCTGAAGCGGGTGTCCGCCGCTTGTCCGCCCGCGATGCCTGCCATCAAAAGCGAGGACTGCATGAGCGCAGGGCTCAGCGGCACGGCGGGTGACTGGGCTGCGGGCTGTGCCTATCGGTTCGCCTGCAACTCCTCCACGTTCGAGCAGCTGAAACAGTCTGTCGAGAAGGCCAAGGCGGCACTCCAGGACCGGAGCAGCTACCTGGCAGCGTCCAGCGCGTTCAGTGATCTCGCTAGCTCACCTTTCGCTCCTCCGCCGCGTAACAATGCGGCGACACAGGACCCCCTGCAGGACGCTCGCAGGGACGACACTATCACCTCTGTCTCCGACAAAAGGACGCACAGTAAGTACATATGTCTTTATCAAACTCGAGGCAATTACTCGTACATATCTGCCCAATAACAGTAACAAGTTTTCAACGTTTCAGCGATTCAGTCGTTTTGGAATTATGCCTTTGAGGTTTCAGATTTGACATTTGACGAATAAACGATCGTTTTCTGTCTGAGAGGAAGGTGTGTCTTGGTTAGTCAAAGCGTGTGTCTTAAAGAGAATCAAATGAAGCTGTACTAGGGCAGCACCAGCCAATGGAGCTGTACAGTTAAGGGAGTCCCTAGATGCCAGATTCTATTTAGCCAATTGGTCCATGATCCCCTTGAAAAGTTATACGTTTTGTGTACGGTTGGACGGAAAAAAGATACAGGGATTTAATGGTGCGAAAATGAACTAACTGTACATGAACTAAAATATCGCCGTTGGCTGGAGTAATTACATACGAGAGTCTGAGCATGGAAACCGTAGCAAACAGCGTCCGTTATTGGAGAGCTTGGCATGACAGTTGAAATAGATGAAAGCCTGTTCTTGAAGCGTAAGAATCACGTCGCTCGAATACTCCCGCAGCAGTTGATCTTATGCGGAATCTGCTATCAGACAAACGAAGAATTCATAATCTGAGTGCCAGAACAGAGCGCTCAAACTGTTGCCTGTCGTCCAAGAGAGGTTCCACCATTATTTCCTTTCGCGGCCTATAAAATACCGGCTTTCAGCACTATTACCCTGTGGAGACGGGTTCGAATACCTCTACCGTGATCCCGCGAGTCGTAGGAGGCGACAAAAAGGGAAGTCTCAAATCTGAGGCAGTAAAATATGGTCACGAGTCCCAAGAAATTCAGACCCGAGAGAGACTGCGCTGGCGAGGGTCAACAACATGTACAAAAGACACACCCGTCCTCTCGTGAGAGAGGGCGTCCCACAAAAACAAGACCGTAACTGTCAAACAGTAATAAATATCTGGTCGTGATATTTATTACTATTTGACAGTTGACACCAAGACTTACTGACTGACTGCCGTCAGGCGCAATGTGACTTTGAATCTGACCTTGACTAGCGCTTGAGCCATCGTTACAGCATCTTAGACATGACAGCAGGTCCTCATGCGCAGACACTGGAGAGACCGTAGCGTTCTAATGCAGCAACAAGGAAACGAGTTTCACTCCCAGGCAACATCACGGCTCAAACGTGGAGGACTACATGTGCGTTCTCTGCTTTTCGACGTGGATGCCTTCGATCGGAACTTTGTTGTTGTTGCCGTGTTTTATCGTCATGCAGATGTTAAGCAGTGATCAGGGTGTTAGTGGAGTAGGAGTTGTAGGGACATGCTTATGTTGACCCTGTTGCTTTAGGAACAGGTTGTTGATGTTGATTCTTTAGAAAATAATTGTCTTTCCAGTTTATTCCTCTTAGCCGTCTCACATTCAGCTTGCTTCTCAAAACCTTTAAAACTTTTAAAAGTTAAAATCTCTTCTATATCACTAGTGTATACACACTGCATGTTTCGATCACAAGTGTTTCATGTTCAGGCGTCTGCAGAGTTGTTGGTGGAATTGTGCTGCGGTCCGTAAGTTCAGTTTTTGTGATATGCCCTGGTGTATGCCCTTGTTGTATCATGTACAGCTGTATTGTCATTGTTCCCACCTATTTTGTCTCATGAGAAAGCATAAGGAAGGACTTCTCGGGTTTTCTGCCGTACTCTGCATAAAGTTCTTCTTCTGTGCCAGAAATTAAAGATTATGGATTGGAAATATGAAAGGAAACTTCAAAATTATCGATGTTACACATTCAGAAAAACTGAATATGCGCGAAGTATAGAACCCATTTAACTCGTTAGAAAACTGGACATGAAATTAGTGGAAAGTAAGGAAATTAGATGTCCCTGTAACAGGCCATGGAGGCCCATAGGGTTGTGAGACGATGAGGGTCCCACATGATCAAGCCCATCGGCTCACAGATGGCGGTGAGGTCAGCCTTACGCGCCGGCCGTCCTTTCCCCAGGAAGATTCCTGCTACTCACTTCTGTTAGAGGCTGAGTCTAACCCAGGGCCATAGTGCGGCTGGAAATATTAGGTCAATTGAAAAATTCCACTTTATTGGGACTCGAACCCGTGATCTTCCGGTTTCTAGCTTACTGCCTCAACAAACTACGTCACCAAGTGCCCATAAAAATTGAATTAATCATAATTTGATACTTGGTAGGAGACTGCGAAAATATGTATTAATGTTGAGCATAAATAGTGTAGTTGCTAAGGAGAAACGAAAAAGGAAGAATGTTGAAGAATGACGTCAGACAATTCTTTACAGCACAAGTTTAGCGTGCGGAAAGTAGTGCAGTACATGGGTTGAGGGCAGGAAGTCGTCCCGAGATTGAGAAAAGCTCAGTTAAATTATAATCATTATGTTTCTAAATGATTTTTTAAATAATTGAAAATAATCCTCATTGTGTTTCCGCTTCCAGTTTTGCAAAACAAATCAAAAGAACGTCACAAAACGTCGAACAGTTTGTCTCCCTTTTCACCGCTGTGTTTTTCAGGAAACTCTTGTCTGATTCCCTCGCCGTATCAATAACATGACGACGAAATGGCTGCAACAGAGCTCCGGTGCTGGCAATTAATATGAGGGGAAGAAGGCCACCAGATCGAACCATCAATCTCGGGGATCAATTAGAACAATATCCATGGCAACTGACCCCTACCGGCCTCGGAAAGTGGGGAAGGGGGGGTGAAACGATGCTCGTAACATATAGGCATGTGAATATTGCATTACACACTTTATTAAACTGATTATTGCAAGTTGAGATTGCATTTTATTTTCGTTTGTATTCCGATTGGATGTAAGCTCATTTAATGGTATTATTTCAACTGCATGGGTTATGGAGAATCGAATGGTGGCGATTATTTGAATGAAGGATGAAGAAAGATATTGAAGGAAGCGGTCGTGGTATACTTAAGATACTTGACATGAATTTGACCCAGAGGACTGGGGAAAATCGGTTAATATAACCTATCTGGGGGTTGAGGTTTGACCCGCAACTTTTCAAGCGGTAAGCAGGTTTGCTGTACACTACACCTTAATATGTGTTTTATTGGAAATACGAGAGTTCTCTGTTTGCGGTTTTCTTGTTGCTTGCTCTGTGTATGATATACTCTTCGATCCTGAAAGTGGAGGCAATAAATTCCTGCGTAACATCTCGTACTACATTGCGTCACAGCCCAAAATAAAATACCCTTAATAGCCACCGCCTCTAGAAACTCAAATGCAATGTATCCAAATATAGCCAAATTACCTTCGTTCGGAACACGTTGGTCATTAGGCCCTGAGGTGAGAACCTCGTCATCGGTAGTGATCTCCTTCAGACACACTTCAGGATGATATGATGACTGAATTAAGGAGAATGAAACGGAGAGATTTTTAAAAGGCATGGCGGTTGTCGTATGTATGGGTGCTTACAAAATTGTTGGAAAAACCTGAAGGGAAGAATTGATAAACATAGCCATAGATGAGAGTATAATATTAAAATGGATCTTACAGAAATAATGTGCGAGGAATTATATATTGAACTGGCTGACTGCAGTGCCATAAGCGGGACGTTGTGAAGACGGTTATGAAGTTTGAGTTTCAGAGAAGTGAGAGGTTAACTGCCTGAGTGAATATCAACCTCCCAAGGAAGTCTTTTACCTTAGTAAAAAAAAAGTAAAGCTATCCCTGTACCAGGCCGTGAAGGCCCATAGGGTTGTGAGACGTTGAGGGTCCCACATTTTCTAGCCAATCGGCTCAAAGATGGCGGTAAGGCGCCGGCCACGCTTTACTCCCCATGAAAATTATTTAATTAATTCCTGGTACTCATTTCTGTTAGAGGCTGAGTCGACCCCAGGGCCATATTGCGGCCGGAAGGATTAGGTCAATTTTGGAGTTTATAAATTAGAATAATTTAAAAATAAGGTGCCAAAGAGAAACTAACCAAGTAACCAATTACAAAGCAACTTGCATACAATCCAGCAAACCGACCAGCCACATAGCCGAACCCGACGGTTGAACAGCCACTCGGAGCTAGACCGTGGAATTCTCGGTAGAAGCATTCCTTTTCTTCTAGCTGCTGAGTCCGGGCACAATGAGACCACATCCCAGTCCGTTTCCATGGCAACAACCCGGAAGTTCTGCCGCGGGAGGGAAAGAAGTGAGACTGGGAGGCGGTAATAAAGCAAGGCGTTGTGCGATTCGTCTTCCAACCCCCATGCACCTCCTTCCACCCCCGCCGCTGTAATCACTTCGCACCGCCTGGGAAAGAAAACTTTCTAGCAGGGGGTGAATCAAAACGAACAGACGAGGGAAACTGAAACTCTGGAGTAGAGAAAGAGAAATGATGGAAAAAAGAGGGCGGCCTCTCGGTGGTCATTAGCTGGGGCATGGGCTTACCGAGATTTTTTTATTGTTTTGTAGAGTGTCTTCTAGAAATGAAAATGGTTTTCATTAATTAAAGTGAGGAAGATCGGGGGGGGGGGGTTATCATTTATAGCAAGACATTTCGCTAAAACTGTTTTTATGCAACTATTTTTTTATCTGTTGCGTACGTAATTAGAATATCAACCAAGTGTAACACTCTGTAGACAGGAATTATTATAATCATTTAGAAATAATCTGAAATTAATTATTAAAACTTATTACGTTTGTAAGTGTGTAGAGGGAAACATTTTTTACTGTTAGAAATATGTTTACTGATCTCTGAGCAAGATAATTAGCCCATCAGTTTAACTGTAATTATATTGTGTTCCCCTACTCCTCAGCGTCATATGGTAAGAAAAATGAAATGAAATTCCTCAGATATGCCCCAATGGCTAAAGAAAATGCTACATGAAGTAGAAAGCGAATCAGGGTACAAAAGATAAAGGAACTAAAAATTATGTTATTAATGTTCTTTCTTTACGTTGGCTCTGTAGTTTCGTCAAGGACGTTTCGGTATGAAGTAATCACAATATTACATCGTTGGTTATTTAACGATTTCACTGTTATATA